GGAGTTGGATTATAGGGTGTTTTACTCTCCCTTTTCTGATGGTAAATAGGGCAGAAAACCAAAAGGTGGGTTTAAGTTCATTAAGGTTCAAGACAAGGCAAATGATTTGTCCATTTTTCACATTTTAGTGGTGGACTTGTATATCCTTTTCCAAGTTCAAGTTAATCTTGTACTTTTTACCACTCCAATCTTTACCTCAGGGCTCAGGCTTTACAAGATTGCATTTCATTTGTTGTTGCTTCTCAGTTATTTGATTAGTGGATGTTAGCTGTATTTATATGCCGAGCTTCTTAATTATTACTGACAGGGAAGATAAACTAGCAGAACGTGCAAAGGCACTCAAAGTAAATGCTGGAACTGAACCTGGTGCAGCCCTTGGACCAGTAATCAGCAAACAGGTACATACTTTGACCGTAATTTCTACTCTGATAGGAGATTTGCAGTTGGGTTACTGGCGCCACTCGAGCTTGTACTGCAAAATTACCATGCAGTTATTCCTTTTTTGTCAAGTAGCTTCAGTTCTTTGATGAATTCTAGTGCTACTTTAAGTTCACCTTCTTGGATTAATTTATTGTGATTATTTGTTGTGGCATCCATAGGTCAGGGAACATATATCCAAGCTAATCCAAGCAATTGTTGATAGTGGCGCAAGACTAGTTCTTGATGGGAGACAGATTGCGGTACTTTCACTTTGTTTTGTGTTTTATCAATTTTTATGTTTCCAGAGATGGAGATATCCTTCCACCTCCGATACAAAAGGGACTCTAGGTTGAAAGAGACCTGAACTGACTGAAAAATATTGAACTTGAAACCCTTATTGAAAGAAAATATTGAACTTTTCTTACAGCTGGTATTGTAGTAGTTGTATAATATACTGGATTGTCCTGATAGTTCTACCTCATGAGTTATACTTGCGTCTAAGTTGCAATATTTCTTCTGAAGACATACAAATAAAACTGAATGCAATAGGAGGTCAAATAAAGTCATCTTTCTTGTCTCCACTTGTAAGAGGGCTAAAGAAGATAAGCAGGGTCAATTTCTCATAATCTTATTTCTTTGATTGTCGTCTTCTTGAGCTGAGGGTCTCTCGGAAACAGCCTCTTATCCCTCCGGGGTAGGGGTAAGGTCTGCGTACATTCTACCCTCCGCAGACCCCGCTTGTGGGATTTTACTGGGTTGTTGTTTCTTTGATTGAGGTCATGTTTCATGTCTTGAAAGCAGTAACTTCCTTAAATGGCTAATCTATTAGATTCTTGTTTGCGTTTTCTTCCAGATTGACCAAACCTATTAGTTTGATTCCTTGGATCATTTTTTTCTGCTAGAAAAAAAGGGTAGTGTTGCAGAGTTTTCACCATTAAAATATATCTTTTGGATGTCAGTTTCCGTGGCAGTGATTGCATTTTCATTGAGAAACTCCTAGAGATAGGAGAAGGAATGTGGTCTAATATGGAGTTCTTTTTTGCAACTTAAAGGTACCAAAGCTGCTTTCCTCTCTCTTAAACATTTGTGGATGACAAATAGGTTTCCAAATATGAGTCGGGCAACTTCTTTGGTCCCACAATATTATCTGATGTCACAGAAGACATTGAATGTGCCAAGGTATCTAGTTTTCAATCTAATTCCTTGAGTACTTTCATGCGCGTGCAAAAAGTGTATTACTAAGTGCTATTGTTCCTTTTGTATGCAGGAGGAAATACTAGGTCCCGTTCTTCTTTGTATGCAGGTTAGTCATATGTTTCTTTTGCTGCATTTCTTGTGAATTCACTGAAATTTTCTCACCTCTTGGTCTTTTTAACTGCAGGCTAATAGCATAGATGAGGCCATTAACTTAGTGAACCAAAATAAGTATTTCCCATTACTTCCTTATTAAATCTTTGTGTGAAGTTTTCTGTTTTATTTTTATCTTATCATTTATGCTGCTTTTATGAAGAAAATATTGCAATGGAACATCTATCTTCACGGGCTCCGGGGCACTTGCGAGGAAATTCCAGATTGAGATCGAAACAAGGCAGGTAAGACATTGCAATAGGGAGTAAAAATAGGTGGGATATTTTTGATAGATTTTATTCAGGTTGCATCTTTATGAAGGAGAAGGAATGGTGAAGTTCAGGAATATGAGAAAATACATTCTGATTAAAGTTTTCAATTCAGAACTGATACAAAATAAACACTAAATTTTAAAAGGTCAAGAATATAAAAAGTATATTTTAAGTACAACTTAAAACCACATGTGTTATTTAACCTAACGAGAAGAAATAGCCTTCTGTAAGAAGAAGAAGCCTCAATTAGTGAACAAATTTAATTATTATTGAAATAAATGAGGGGCAATTTAGTCCACTCACAGAAAGAGTAACAATTAACAACTACAATTATCAACACTCCGAAAAAGGTCTGACAAGGAAAGATTTGAAGTAAGTTGTATTATGGAGAAACTGAGGCATCCAAGGGTGTGGCCTAACAATCAATAAAGCGGGTGAAAACCATGAGAAATAAGAGTTACCCGGTACCTGTGCTAGTCAAAGGTAGCAGGTATCCAGTGTAGTAGTCAAGTTGCTCACAAGCTTACCTAGACATTGTCGTTAGAAAAAAAATAACAATAATAAATGTATAAATTGAGAAACTTGTACATCCAAATTGGTGTCAGAAAATTTGATAATTTTGCGCATATTGATGAACTCAGGTTTGCATAAATGCTGCTGTTCCTGCTCCTCTTCCCCTCTTCTCTCTCACATGCTCAGAGTTGTCTCTTGCTGGGGATATCAATGCCAATGGTAAACATACTTGTAATAAATGCCTTTGTTCCTATTATCTACTAATTTGTCCTGCATCTTAGTTGTCTTAATTGGAGCTGTGGGCTATGTAGGCAAAGCTGGTGTACAATTTTACACCCAAATAAAGACAGTGACTCAGCAATGGAAGGAGTTCAGTAGTGAAGGAGGACTGCCACCCTTAACATCAAACTACCCCCAAAGTGATGATGGATTATCTCAGGGACTGCAAGCTTTTGAATATCAGAGTGGCGCTGGTGATTATCAAAGTGGCGATGGTGTATCTGAGGGATTACAATCTGTTGATTACCAGAGTGGTGGAGAACTGCTGGCGTTACATTCAAGGGATTTCTCAAATGGAGATGGAGTCCATCTGGCTTTACACCCAAAGGATTTCCCAGGAGGTAGTGATGGTGAATCTCTGGGAGAACATTCAGGGGACATTTCAAGTGGTAATGGTATATCCCCAACAATACCAGTACCTGATGGATCACATTGGACATTGAACTTTTGAATAGTAATTATTTTCAATTGGAACTAGAAAAATGTGAATAATAGTTATAGTTTTGTTTGCTAAAGGATTGATTTAAGGTTTTGTTTTTCTCGATATCTTTTCCTGAAATGATTAGCTGAGCTATTTCTGTTGGTTCCTTCTTTGTCTGATGAATCTGGTCCAAGAAGTGACGAGGATCATATGTGAAGATTGGTTGCTTGGTAGGCTAGAAACAATTTCCAATGCTAGAAACAACGAATTTGACGTTAAAATCGTGTGCATATTTCGTTGTAATCTTTGATGTGAGAGCTATATACTGTTGGTGCTAATGGAAGTATAATCTGAACGTCTATGAAAATGTTGAATGATTATTTTGCGTTTTTATGTGGCTACATTTCTTTTCCCGTTAAACTGCCTTCGGTTGGAAAGGAAAACGTAGACTGACGAGATGTGAATACAAAAAGTGCTGAGATAAGATTTGTTTCTTAACAAATGGACGGTAAAGGAAACTAACAAGGCTTATAGTTTATTGAGACTCTTGGTAATTTCCCATACAGCAGTTGAATTCTTACTTCTTTTCTGTTTTCCTTCCCCTTAGTAGAAAAGGTAAGAGTCCCCTTAAGAAAATAAATTCATTCGTTTGGATCTGTTTCATTCTACTAAACTATTGTACAATCGTTTGGATTGATTGCCGGATAGAGTTATGCAGGTATTAATACATGGATTAGTTATGCAGGGATTTTTTTTATTTTTTTATTTTATAATAATTGTTTTTTGTTGTATTAAAAATTGATATACATTATATAAATTTTAAAGTAAAATACTTATTTACTGATTTTGTCTCTAATAGATTGAGAAGAGGAAGAACCTAGCAGTGAGGCATAAGTATCTCCATGCTTGTTCTCCAAAGGGTCTAATACAAATCAATCTATAGAAGGAAGCCTTTATATGTAAAATGATAGGGGTAATTTATCACTTTAATATTTTATTCATGTATTACTAATATATGTATTAGTTATTCCATCTTTTACCTCACATAAATAATACACAGATTGACTCATAACTTATACATATATTATTAATGTAGAACTGTAAAATGACAACCAAACATGATATTAGTTATGCCAATTTTATACAAAATAACTAATGGCTACCAAACATTGTATAAGCTATGTTACTTTCTTCTCCTAACCAGCTATCAAACAACGACCTCTTAATGTATAGTGCCACTAATGATTAATCTTAAATGCCACTAATTGGTCTTGTCTATACATCTGGTTCCAATTGTACATTTGATGGTGATTGACATGATCAAATCCCAAATACGTATGTTAATTGCACGTTTTCGTTAGATGTTATCATTCGAATATTGCCTATCTTTGTAGGATCACACATTCACTTAGACATCTACATTTCCATAGGGATGATCATCTTGCGAATATTTGTGACTTATAAACCTAATACTTACTCACATATAATATCGATAATTCTACAACATTCTTAAAAAACTTGAATTTCATCTTAGGTGAATGTCTTCCTATCCCGTAACAATGTTATAACACTTTTCATCAATATTTAATATGACTTGAAAATTTGTGCTCTATTCTGAACTTCATCAATCATGAGTGGTTTTTGGAATATATTTAGAGAGCTAATTAATTGGTTATTTCTCCTTTAAAAATCTTTTCCATATTTTAAATAGGGGTTCTTAACTTTTAAAAAACAAAAGATACCCGACACAGTATGACAAGTGATGTGGCTGATCTCCAAACTGGATAGCTTCGAAAAGGGCAAAATTATTTACCTACCAAAATTTTCCATTTTAAAATGCAGCGAGGCAATTTTTTCCTAACTCCTTATCACTGACTATGATCTTCATCATCAATCATCAACTATCCGATAATCTCTAAAATAATTTGTGAAATCGATAAAGAGTTAGAAAATTGCAATAGCATTGCTCTTCTCTGCTCTTTTAAAAACACCATTTTCTTGGACCAAATATATAGCAGGGTTAGTCTGAGGAACAATGATGCAGTTTCCAGTCCATAGAAGTAAGATTTCCCCAATTTATAGAATACCCTTTTTATTATTTTCCATATTAATCATGTCTGTTAATTGATATTAATAACCCATAAATATTGTATTTGTTGCAGTGAGGAAATTGAGGTCTTTGACTCCAAGGGTTTTTGCTCTCTCTAATCACCACTTCTCAGTTGCTGTCAGTACCTCTTTACCCCATGTTTTAATTTATTCTACTTTTTTTCTTAATTAATCAGTCTTGATTTTTTTTACCCTATGAAATGAATGGAAATGAAGCGAGTTGAAGCTTAATTAATGTTGAAGGTTCCGCCTTTCAGATATGAAAAATAGCCTTAGTATAATCATGCTTTGTTCTAATACTTTCTGTTTATATAATAGCTTGGTTCAATTAGAGAGGCAGCTTTTAGTCTATTTAAGTTTTTTATGAAGCAGTGTTTTGAGCTAAGAACTTTCTTGGTTTTATTTATCAGAGAGTTCCAAATTTAATTGGTGGCAGCTTTGTAGATTCAAAATCATCAGAATTCATTGATGTTATAAACCCAGTAAGTGAATCGCGCTAAAGTTGCAATTTTTACATTATATGCTAATATGTTGGGTGCAAAATGTTCTTGGTTCCAGTTAGGGGAAATTTTTGATTGCTTGAATTTTGGTTATAGGCAACACAAGAGGTGGTTTCTCAGATACCTTTAACCACAAATGAGGAGTTCAAATCTGCAGTTTCTGCAGCCAAGGAGGCGTTCCAGTCATGGAGGAACACACCCATAACCACAAGACAACGGGTCATGCTCAAATTCCAAGAGCTTATTAGGAAGAACATGGTTTGTTTTTGTTCTATTCCGGTATCTTTCTGCAGTTTTTGCTTGTGATCTCTGTTCACGTCATTTATCATATGTTTGTTCCAGGATAAGCTTGCCTTGAATGTGACGACTGAACAAGGAAAGACATTGAAAGATGCACAAGGCGATGTATTCCGTGGTCTTGGTTGGTTCTTCACTCACTAAGGCATAGGGAAACATCTTCTACATGATGACTGTGAACTTGAATTTCTTTTTTCTGTTTTATGAAGAGGTGGTGGAGCATGCATGCGGAATGGCGACTTTGCAGATGGGCGAGTATATGTCTAATGTATCAAATGGAATTGATACNGAAAAGTACGTCTGCCATCTCTGCTTAATCTGGGGATCTCCCACCAATACTCTACCATCCTCATCTTTGATGNTATATGTCTAATGTATCAAATGGAATTGATACCTATAGCATAAGGGAACCTCTGGGTGTTTGTGCTGGGATTTGTCCGTTCAACTTTCCGGCAATGATTCCCTTATGGGTAGGCATATCTTATTTTTTTTGCTCCTTTCGCAGTTTCCATACATTTCAAGTGCATTTCTCAAATCTCTTTATTGTTTAGTCTCTGTTCGAACTTGGTTGCCTTCTCTTTGACTTCTAACTTGCTTGAGGAATCAGTCTCATTTTC